CGGTCTTACTCGTCACCCAATACCTGTGCTTCAAATAATTTTTTTCGGTTCCTTTTTAGTCGGCACCTATCCATATGAACAAGCATTGCTTCTTCTCAACTTCGTTTCAAGACGCATTCATAATAACAGATTTGTCGTGAGTTTCGTCAATTCCGTCGTTGTTATATAGCTATTAATAACCGTATTGACCTGTTACAATGTAACGTGAATGTTCCTGCTGTTCACACGTTCCTGCAACAAAGAAGCGCATTTCCACAGGCCCGCCCGTTCCAATGATTTATTCAACAATAACATATTGACCTCCATCGTTTTCATTTATGTCTGACCTGTCTTTTGTTCTTATGTTGTTGTAAATATATTGTATTGTCGTCGTCGTCGTCGTCATCGTGGTTGACTCTTCAATTTGTTTCGTTTCTGATCGTTATTTTTAATCACACCTTCGCTCTTATCCTTTTTTGATTATAGATTTTTCATTCTCAAACTTGGAAAGGTTGCACTGAGAGTCCAGGTCATCTGCGTTTCACTTCCCCCAACGCATCGGCCCACCCTTGGCAACACTTTCCCTTTTGAGAGCCCTTGATGGCCACTCGTGGGTGCCCCTTCCAATACAACACAATGATTGATTTGATCTTGATTGACTTAAAGCCTTATCTAGATAGCGTACTGTTGTAACTGTGTATGTGTATGTAGGTTGTTGTATAAAATTGTGTGCCGAGCTTTGTCCGTAGCTTTCGTCCGTAGCACCGGAAATACATCGTACTACAAGGAACGTTTCGTGCTTCAGTCCGATATTGATTATGTTTTATGCGAAGACGCATACAATGTGGCGTAAAGGCAATGACTTATTCTTTTCACTAATTCTTTGTTTTTTATATCCGTGTCGTTATTTTAGAGTTATTATTCAGCTTTTTGCGTCTCTCTCTCTATCTGTTTCAAGTGTAAATGCTCTTCTGTATATCACAACGTTGATTTCGAGCCGGGAGCATCCACATTACGTGTCCTGCTCTATTATATTGAATACTTTTTACCGTGGCTCATTTTCACCACAGTCATGCCCTCTCCATGCCTCCATATTTACGCTACTATGTTTCTTATAGAGCCATCGACAGATTAGACCCGTCCCATTATCGATGAGTTTCATCTGCTCCCATTTCCAGGTTCTTGCCTTCAATAAGTGCACTCTTTTCTCTTTTCGTCTGTCGCATCACCAATCGCGGTAGTCAGAAACACCTATATGGGACTAAACATGCCCGAGCAGACCTATGAGGCCGGTATTCCCTCAGCCCGTACAAACGAAGATCACGGCTATATAGATAGACATGGAAAAAGAAGTAGAAGGCCCTTATCGTAGACGTTGAAGGGACCCGACACCGTTTGGATGGTCTCGCCAAGCTAAGAGTTCTATTTTCGTCTCTGCATCCCTCAAAACAGACAGACGAGGACCGGAACTGGCGTAGAGATCGATGACGACACTTTTTTCTTATGCTACCAGCGTCAGCCGTCGTAATGGCCATCACTGCCATCACCTCTTTCTCTCGCCTTTCATCTCGACGCCTCACAGAGGACCAGCCAAACAAATCCCCTCACTGCCTCTATCTGATGCCCGAGTTGCTGCAGACCTCGCAAGCGTTCCACTCCTTAAACGAGCCGTAGAAGCAGCCGAAACAGGATAGCCCGAATAGGCCTTGAAGTTCGCCGCCAGTGCAGTTCCAGAAACTCGGCTATGAAAAGTGAGATTGGTCGAAACGCAATATTGCCTGTAGTTGGCTTCATCTGGCAGTTATCTCCATTATATCGCCAGCCACAAGAATGTACGGATTTCGATATATTCTCCTTCTTTTCCGACGGAAACCAGCGACGATACCTACCTAATGTGATGACCAACCGGTGCCTGTCGTAATGCACCAAAAGGACTAATACGGCTTCGAAACAAGGCGTATAAGAGAATTACTATATTAATGTAACGGGCCAAACGTGCTAGAGCCTCATGGCGGTAACCGGTAGCCGGCTGCCGTTCGGTTCCGCTACTGCACGGAATTCAGAGTTGCAGCCCAAATTACATCGGAAACAAAGGTACATACGTGGAGAAACGTACTAATCTAATTTTGGATATGGAACAGCTGTGAAGCTGAATGACTAATATTCACTGAGAGTGCCCGCCAGATTCTCGGCGTCCTTTCGTTTCTCATTACATTGTAAAGAAAGCGCATTTTCCGTCTAAGTGATTTGTTTTTGTTCTAAGTAACGCTGCCGCTAACCTTAGACTACGAAGCAACACGGCGCAGGTAGCTAGAGAAGAAGCCGAAGGAGGACCCCATATGGCAGCTACGCAATGCGACAACGGCAGCACCCGAGGCAGTCCTTTTGTTCTCGTTACGGTTCATTCACCTCCTCAGGATTTACAATAGTTCCTGCGCTCCCGCGAATTCCGAACCAGTGTGATGCACAGCGGCTGGATGGATGGATGAGCAGCATTTTCAAAAAAATCGTCGTACTTCCTTTCCGTTTTGATTTTTCTTTCCTGTATCCTCTTGCCTGTCGATATGCCGGGTGGGAAAGTCAAGGAGCAGAAGTCGTGCATGTAAATACATGCTTTTTGGACGAGTCTTTCTTCGTCGACTTATCGGCTCATAAAAAACTAGTGGGGGAAGACTAAGAGGTCTTGAAGCTCCTGTTTAGAGAACGGGCTTCCGGAAAAAGCTGGTTTTATGTGTTACTATGGTGGTCCTATAGTATCGTTGCATCTATTATAGTTTGGTCAGCAGTCTTGTCTGTTTAACGTTGTAGATGAGGGAGCTAAGCGCGGAGCAAAAGCGGAGAAAGAACTCATTTGTCAGCTTTTCTCCTTGTCTTTAAGTCGGTTGGTAGCAATTGTCGTTGTAGTAATATTGTACGGAGGGTTCGGATACTTTTTGTTACAGTGCTGTCTTACCTGTATTCGTGTTACTAGCATCTTGAGCCTATAATCGTTGCCATCGCTTGACGTTTTATTTAGGTATCAGTGCGGTCGTTTCGTATTTATCGTATAACTTGTTTGACACATTTTCATTTAGCTTTGATCTTTTCTATTTATTACTTAGTTAGTTTTTTTTTTATTTCGTTCATTCTTTTTTGCTTGTTTTAGATTTCGTATTGTACGTCTGGGTATGTTTTTCCGAAGTCGGCATCTCAAGGACGTCATCGGGGACCGAGTACCTCTGCCGTCACGACGCTGAGCTGCGCGTGCACGGTCCTCCCTTTAGCCATTTGTCGCCAATATTATGTTAGGTTATGTCACGGTTATTCATTCGTACATGGAAATCGTGACTTCGTCCCATCGGTCTGCTGTTCTTGCTGCTGCCGGTTTTTCTTTCTTTGTTGTTCTTGTTTTTGTTGCTGCTGTTATTGTCGTTGCGATTTTGCGAATGAGTTCAGTAACACCAGCACTCGTTTCCCGTTCGTTGGCTAATCGTCGTAATGGTAGTTCCTGCAAGGAAAAATAACCACCACTTCGGTTAGTGCTTGTGACAATGGAATCTCAAGGCAGATCACTTTTGTACACGAATGTCCTAGACGGAACCGGTTTTTAAAAATGTACATATGCCGTGTTGGGTACCGTGTTAAACCCAGCTGTTGCCATTTGCATTCGCTGTAGACCAGCAAACCTCTGAGAGATTCAACAGGATGTCAACGACGGATCCTTAACTAAATCGCTATTTTCGTAGATATCGTAACTATACAGATGTGCTGATATTCTCTTATAAATATAATCTACAACTAGAATAAATCCCACCCACTAGCAACACCAGTCAGGGGTGGTCTTACGCCAGAAATATAGGTGGCACTCACTGTGATCTGTTTAGGCAGCAGCAAATACAAGTTATTCAGGTCTTACTAGCAGTCATATAATAAAAGCGCACAACATGGTTTCGGTTTAACATACGATTTATAGAATAGATAAGTAAGAGCAGTATTTCGAGTCTCGTGTTTTTTTGGCTCTCACCCGTAGTAGAGCACATAATGACAGCAACGGAAGTGGCACGTTTATGATTAGCTATTTTTATAAAAAAATTCATCGCAAGCCCTCGACCGATATCAGAGTGATGCGCCTCCATCCATAAACAAACGTGAATACGTCCCCATGGAAGTCAAGCTTCTCTTAGAAGATGGCATTAGCCATTTAATATGAAACTATTGATTTCTGTGGCCGAAAAAAAGTAGAATCACGCAGCATCACGTTTAACATTGCAGGAGTACTATGGTGAAGTTTGCTATTTGTCATCTCACTATCACCTCTTAAGACCCACATGGGTTTAACGTGTCGTTATCAATAGGATCTGTTCGGTAGCATTCTCTGAGTGGTTTTTTTCAAGAGACGTCGAATTATGAGACTAGTTCGCTGTAAGAATGAAGCAGAAGGTTAGAAAAGAAAGATGGGGAGCTTTTTAAAAAACGCTAATCGTCCAATTATAATTTCTAGACGAACGCACTTCCTCTAAGAAGTAAAACCACGTAGTATCTGCTCTGTCTGCCGGCTGTCGGCCCTTTTAGCCTTCTGCTCGCCTATCTAACAGGACTTTGGCCTTTTACTAAAGTGGTTATTTGAATATACTGGCCTTCCGTCCGGCCAAATCGACCCGCTCCATTGGCACTATGGTAACGGAAATGAGCTTATTAGTTGGGCTTCCGTTACCCCTTGGCTCGTGCTATTTTATACTCTTCTTGCAATAGTTAGGGTTGCGCTTCAGTCCACCACTGTCTCCGTGTTTACTTCTGCCACTCTTTTTCCTCATTGGCCCGACAGGTCTGGCTGACGGAATTTAGCCTTTCGCTCACCGACAACACTTTCGGGAAACTTATTGTTCTCAGAATTTCTTCCATACCCTATTCGATCAATCTCGCGTTCTTTTACTAGCTCAGCTATTGGACTTCGGAACGGGCATCGTGCTTCGTATTAAGCCAATAACGCAGTTCATTGTTTCTCGAATAATTGTAAAAGCTTTTAGGCATGCGCCCTTTGCTCGGCACGATATTGCGGTCTGCGAAAAGAGCAACGTCGGAGATTACTCTCGAATCACAAGAAGCTCACACGAAAGAAGCTATGCTTGGCAAATAAGGATATAGGTACCTCTTCTACACTTAACGCGTGTGTTTAGCTATATAAAACCTGTTATTTGTTATGATTGAGTATTTTCCGAACATAGTCAGTTCAAAAAATGGTAAGTCAAGTACATCTTTTCGTCATCAGATATATCTACCCCCTGAGTAAATCTTCTTTACGATCTTCTCTACTTGCTAGGTTGGTAAGATTAACTTTCAATATGAGTTCCTGACCTTCATAAAGTAGCAGCTGAACTACGCGAGAAGCAACCCAGCCTTCCAGCATTAAAAGGTATTAATCTTCAGCAGGATAATGCTCAGACACATAGCGAAGATGACCCTGAATCTTTGTCACGTCCTTATAGAATTCTGCATTTTTTATATACAGAATTTCATTTTCGCCTGATCGACACATGTATGCCAAGTAAGAATATACTTATTCGATGGAAAAATCTCTAGAAAACAACTTTGTATTGGGTCTATATTAATAGGCGATGTCTGCAGCTACCTTTTAATACTTACTTGAAAAGCAAAACGTATGCAGAATTCAATATTAGATCATCGTCATTACCATCTGTTTCTTCAAGCGAACGTTTCTTCACACTTTTCCAGTGCACATGCGTGCCGTAGTACATGATATCGATAATAAATGAGCGGCATTTTACATCGATTCCCGCTAGCTGGGATGGATAGCACAGAAGAGCCAGGGGCACAGATATTGCGGCCGAAACCGTAACGAGTTTTCGCTTCTGTTGTCAAGTGCGTGCAGTGCTCCACGACAAATCCTCGTGGTGCCAGGTGGCAGTTTTGAAGGTGCATTTGGCAGAGGAGAGGTGATATGATGAAAAATAATAGGGTTGGTGTGAAGCTCTATGACCCTATCGATAGGGTATAGTTCTGCCACCTCCTATAAAGTGTCACTAGAAATTGAAGCAGCTGTCCAACTGAAGGAATACCACCTGCACAGAATAGAATTGCAGAAATGGAAGTTGTCCTTTTCTTTTCGTTCTTGTGTCTATAACATGCTATCGTATAAATAGGTTGCCCCGTGTCAGTTGGGCCGACGAAATAGTTGGGTTATTGCTTTGAATATTCTTCAATACTTTGGATTTCATTAAACTTATCATAATTCAAAACGTGGATGCAAGAGCCTGGCTGCGTTGCTTGGTCCGCATAACCAGCGCCAAGAAAGAAGTAAGGCTCTTAGAAGTATGGCCGATCCATCGGTGAGAGCCCTAACTATACATCCCAGCATGTGACCTACACCGAGCTATGCTGGCTGTAAATTGACTGAAGTCTGCGCTCCTGAGACATGCCTGTGTTATGCATGATGCTACATTTCACGGGACTACAATACCAAAGGCCTTCAGTTTTGCCTGATGCAGTGTAAATGTTTTAAATCCATATCAGTCTCGACAATTACTAATTATACTAAGACTAAAGTTTAGTGTTGAAGATTGCTACGAGAGATAGGCATGTGCCTTCTCATCCTAAAAGCAAACCTCGCTGTTTAGACGCAGAGAAAAGCCTTTCTTAGGATAACCGCTTTTTGTACAAATCAAACGCTACTATTATTTTGTTTTGCTTATTATTATAGCACTATTTAAAGATGTTTCCTTGTGGCAGAGTGACCCGACCTGCTATAGATCGATCCGGTATGGATCGTAGAGTAGACTTATAAAGGATTATAATTACACGACAGCGGCCTGCAGAAGCAGCCCATATATTGATTAGGCTGATCGCTTGATTTAGATTAGAGTGTACAAAATCGATTTAAAGGTACCGAAGAATTCGTGTAATATAATATTCATTGCGATTATAGTAGAAGCCTGAAACTTCGGTGTTGTCACAACCCGAGAAGATCTACTCTTTTTTCACGATGAGTGCTGTGAGCTAACACTTCAACTTATGTGTGTGTTCACTCACGTCGGTGTTGCAAAAATGTCAGGATCAGAGATCAACACCTTCCTTAAAAGATTCGATTTAACGTTTCGTTAATCACTTTTGTGAGCGATTCACAGTAAAAATTCTTCACAGCTTCAGCTGTAGCTCGTTTTGAGGTCAAGATCGCTCTATATTACGAATTTTAAAACTACGCTTATGAGTATTAGAGCGTTAATTACAGATTCAATTCCTTTGGCTGTCCACCTGTATTCAAAATGTGCCACAGATGCTCGACTTGCGTTTGGTGCTGTCATCATAAAGTTATGCTATTAAAGTTTCGATTAGTTCTTTTGCCTGTTCCTTTGCAACTTGTATTATAATCAAAAAACGTAACAGAGACAGCCACAGGATTTCCATCTGTCATATTGGAAATCCAGAAAATTTATATTGACTACGTTCTATAGTATCATCTAAGTGAGTTCAGAAGAATTCGCCTATTTATTAATTCAGAAGAACTAAGAAGGTGGTCAAATGCCTTTGGAACATTTCGAATAGCTTTAGTAACAGAACCACAGCAGAGGAAGTACGCGTGTGTTACTTGGCCGTTCACTCCATTGTGTAAATTGCTCTTATGCTACGATACCTATAATCGTACGGTGCCGTCTCAGGCAGCATATCGGATTATCCTCTATGATCGGTCTTTAGTCTGGCTTTATTGTTTGACATTACTATGCCCAAGGCACTCACAACCAGTCGATCTCGAGCTGCCGCGGTCACCACCGCCGCGAGGATGACATACGTATTCGGGTGCGTTGCCTATACCGCCTGTTGCTATGCGACCGGCTCAAAAGAACAAATTCATCTGGGCTCTATGCTACCTAGTTTCAGGTGGTTAAAAGCAGAAGTAGCTGAAACAGAAACTTAAGCATGTTACTTAAGGCCTAAGACTTGACATGCTGCAAGCCTTTGCGACCACTGGTTACCTTGTTTCCTAACCCTCTTTCCTTTTAAATCGTTAAGTGTATTCCTTTTTCACATCGAACGCAGTGCCAGCGTCAGAAGGTGTTGCATGTTGGCTAGATAGAGGAACATCGGGTGAACAGCATCTACTGTATGAAGAAGCCTAACGCGACAACTGATCGTTATATTGTGGAATATCTTTCACATCAGACAAATGGTTTTCGGGAATATTTCACGTAGCATTGGTGAAGTGAGTAGATGACGGCTGTGTGACAACGCAGAGACACGCCGAAACAAGCGATTCGCCAAGGTACCGCGGCAAATGGTCGAGCGAGATATGATCGCGTAGAAACCAGGAATAACCGAGTTGCTGGTGCATTGCGACAGTGCGTAGCGAGGGTACTTTGGGATAAGATGAGACAACACGGCTGGAACGCCAAAAAACAGGTGGGCGCATTTGTCAACATAAATATGACATTGATGTGGTTGCTCCACCCTACAAGGATGAAGGGGGAATAAGGTTTAGGTGGCTACAGGTTGATGGGAGTATTCATGAGCGTTGGAAGTGGACCAAGGGGACATAGGCTGGACACGGGCATTGTGATGGAAGCTTTTGCATAGCTTCTTCGAGTGCCTTGGGAACTTCCAAAAGGAGCCTTAACATTGCATTCAATAATGAATTCGAAAGGTGAGCAAGTTTTTGAAGGACCTCGATCCGCAAGACTTCGTCTGCATCAGGCCGGTTACTAGGTCCGACTATAGCGAAAGCAGTCAAATGGCCAGTTGCGATCGACGACTTTAAGATCTTATTCAGGCCTACATGAAGTGGATTGCAGGCCAAAGAGTGCCACTATTATGTCGTAGTCAGAGGAAAACCCAGAAACGGTCGTCATGGTAACAGCGTTTTTGTGGCACTTAGAACCTTACTTAGCGTGTTCGAGGCCGTGACTTGCATAACGACACGACAAGCTCTGCCTGAAGGGTCGGAATGTGGTTGTCCGGAAAATCATGTGTCAAAGCGGGTCGTTACCACTAAACAAACGACTTCGCAACAAACAATATAGGTAATATTGAATCTTGGCGTAATTAAATATTTTTCAATATAACCATGCTAAGCATATTACTATATGGTGGCCGAAGTAGTAAGCGTTAACAATGCATAAGTATAGAAAGTTACCGCTTTCACCCATCCCTAAGATGAAAGTGGCTAATATGTAAAGATAAATGATATTAAAGAAGCTTTTAAGATTAGTATCGCTCTAATTAGAAAAGTTCTTTGTTTATTGAAGCTCTGAGATGACGGTAAAGTAAGATAAATTTCGCCAGATATTTTCCGAGCAGAAAATGCAATTATGGAGCATAAAATGATGAATGACTGTTCCAAGCGAAATCCCGCGATGGAGTACACGACTCCTAGCCAAAAGGTTTTGCCTATTCAAAATATCCTCCAAAATTAGGTTCGGAATATTTAAATAGACCGTTCTATAGAGAGAAAAGCAACTTATTTACCAATACGTTTGGCAGGGAATTACGTCGTCCTTAGTCCTGTTTCTTATACCGACGAGTATCAACGGTGTGGCACTTCCGATTTTTCTTTTTACAGATTCCGACAGTTTTATTTTGAAAAGTAATAAGATCTTTCTCCATCAAATTTACATTGTCATAGCATTCTATTGGGAACTGTTTGTCCACTTTGAAAAGTACACGAACATAGGCTATGTTGTCTAATAACTAACACAAATAATATTTAGGAATAACTTGAATGAGGAGAAAGTTTACATCGGAACTATGCTGTAATTGTGAGTAATAAGTACACGCTTTTCGTCTATTCAGCCGCAGACTACTGCTAACCACATTTAAGTTACACTTCTATAACTGTAGAGTTATCAACTGGAGTTACAGTAGTATAACTTTGATGTTAGACTTTCTCAGTAGGAAATAATTCCTGTATCTGTTTCTCATGAGCGATTCGCGGGTGTACACGCAGAATGCTCAAGCCCATCAACTCGTCCAACTTACCCACTCTGTGGCCTTGTCCTTCTTATTCAAATGGGCGGAAACCAAGAATCGAACTAAAAAAAATTCAACTATTTTATTCTAAGCGGCTTTCGGAAACGCGGCTCGAGTACTGCTGATGTAAGTAAACGGGGTTAAAAGCTAAGTTCACTACTGTAAAGGTGGGAAGAAAATAGTCAGCGCTCAAAAGCTGACTGGTTATTGGAGACAAGCATATATAATAAGTTATTTAGAAGATACATCTATCAGTCTGTTAGGGACTTTTTTATCCGTATACATACTATTTCTTAATTAAGCATTTGTCGATCCCTTGTAGATAACACTGGCAGTTTTTTCAGACGTATAAAAGTAAGTGTGCTTTAGAATCATAAGGACGTTTTCCAATTAGATCCCTTAATTAATGCTCTGCTTTCCAACAAAACTGGCACCGGACACATGAGCTTGACAAGCGAGCTGAGGGACTTGTTCAAGCCCTCTGTGTCGTGACGCTTTCGAATTATGTCCAGACAGACTAACATTAAATTGATATGTACCATCTGCATAGAATCGACGCTATCAAGGCGAGCTACGCTGAGCAAATCTTATTTTTAATGTCTATAAAGTTACTCCATTTGTAATATCGATTCCCTATAACATTGTCGTACAAATGAAGCGAAACTAATTGCTAAATTACGTATGACTATCTAACCGGCACACTAAGAGAATCCTGCCGAAAAACTTACCGATGAGGGCCTGGGCATCTCGCTGTCGGCGGCACCCGCATGGCCCGCAGCAGAACCAGATCTGCAACAAAATAATATCACTCAGTGTTAGAATAATCAGTTCATCTATTTTCTGACTATGGCATATTGCCTTGCTCATCTCTTCCATCGTGATATGTATGCTGCTATAATATTGTACGATGCATAAAGTGGCCGTACTAGCCAATTCA